GGAAACCAAAAGACGGTGCGATGACCTTACCAGGAAAATGAGGAGAGATGGGTAAGTAAATAGTAGCTTGAACTTTTGTCACTTTTATAGATATTGTAAACAAGTTCATGAACCTTCATGGGTTAAAACTTGACACAATGACACAAGTTAATTTCACACAGTTTCTAGGATTAGTTTTAACTTTGGACAGTGAGACCACTTCAAGTTTGATCAATCAATTTACATATTTCTCAGGTGGCCAGCAATGGGTATCCATGGTGATAAAAGTCAGCAGGAGCGGGACTGGGTTCTAAATGGTGAGTATCTTAGTAGTTTCTTTGACTCCTTCCATGTTAGCTGATAAATGAAGAAACTGATGAACTGTTTCTGTTACAGAATTCAAACATGGGAAAGCACCAATCCTGATTGCTACAGATGTTGCATCCAGAGGTCTAGGTTAGTACAACTCGTAATGCCAGTTGCCCAAAATTATTTAAAGAAAGTCTATTGCTTTCTTTAACCTCTGCATTTTTCTAAGTTTTCTTCACATAAAGGTGCAGTCTTTGTGGCAAGGCCTAGGCATGACAATCGGAGGACTCGAGGGGGATGGAGAACTAGTGGAAATGATCGGCTGGCTCCATCCAGTCAAATAGAGAGGTGAAAGCTGAGAGCATTGTGTGCCAGTAATCTTCAAAAGGCAAAGATCATCCTTTAAACTACTACCCCCATAGACCTGTTCTCTCATGAAATAAGCAACTTCATTTACAGTTGACTTTGCCCTGGTATTTCTCTTCTCTCCATGCTTTGCATGATTTGCCATGGTGCAGTACTGTTAGTTTTGTGCATACTGTTTGCTGTGATCTGTGGGTCTTTGAATTTCAGTGAGTTTGCTGAAATGTCGAAGAAAATAGTTAAACTTCAATGAAATTTTTTTCCAACCATGAAATGGAGAGAGCAGCTTTAAAATGTACTAAGCCTTGTACAAATTGGTGAGTACTGGCACATGAAATCTGAGAAAAAGCCCACCTCTCGCTTTAGCAAGTGGGACAGGAAAGCAACGGCTTTTCTAAATGCCGTTGAAAGTCGGAGTTCCTCCACCTTTACATAGTCGTCATGTCGAGACCTGCCAGAGAGAGACACATTCTCAAGTGAACCTGGCTTCTTGGAAGTGCTTGCCTAGACAAGACAGTGCATAAAAACAACTTGGTGACTTTTGGGGGACAGGTATGTTTTTCTTGCAGCTGCAGTTCAAAGGTCTTGGCAAGACGAACAGTGTGGCCCTTTTTTTTTGAGCTTCTGATGAGTGTGTATGTGAAGGACCTTGTATGTTTTTACTCTAAGGTCCTCAAATGAGCACATGAAGAGGCTGCTGTGAGCTTTAGTGGCCCTACTGCAAGAAGCTTTCAGATGTCACTTGATGATTTGTAAAGGGGACTCTTGAGTTGGGATTGACAAGCAAATGCATACTCCTTTATGGTAAGGTTTTGGATCACAGGGTGGGTGTAAGATGGGAACAGATGGAGTGTGCATAACTTTCCCTTCCACAATATTCATGCAGAAATGGATAATTCTAACAATGTTCTTTGCAGCCATTATTTCCTTTAAAGTACTCTTGTCTAACGTTTATCTCCAATTTGGCTGTTGTGGTGTGCAAAACTTTGTACATTGCCTTTTGCCACACTGCAACACTTTACAGATGTGGAAGATGTGAAATTTGTCATCAATTATGACTACCCTAACTCCTCAGAGGACTATATCCACCGAATTGGACGAACTGCCCGCAGTACCAAAACAGGCACAGCATACACATTCTTTACTCCTAACAATATTAAGCAAGTAAATGACCTCATCTCTGTGCTTCGAGAGGCTAATCAAGCCATCAACCCCAAATTGCTTCAGTTGGTTGAAGACAGAGGTGCAGGTAAGTACTGCTGATAGAGCCACGGTGCATGGCTTTCCAAACACCAGAAACTCAAATTATATCTCCCAAGTTCTTGTTAAGAATGGATGTCAAAGGTGGCTTAGGTGTTTGTTGTGGTGACCTGAAAAGGTATTTATTAGTCAGAAAATCCCCTACACTGTGTGTGCGTGGTCTCCAGAGCACCTTTTAGTGCACCATGAGTAATGCTGACCACAAATGCACTTGACAGGACTTGTTTCCTGTGGTTTTGTTTCCTGTGTCTGGAAAAATGTGGCATGGAGTGAACAGTGTCCCATTAGCAAGATCAGAGTGACTTTTTGTCTTTATGCTACCAGTTGTATTCCAGGACAGAGCATATACCTCTTAAGTGTGGCTGTCTCCAGATTGTCACCGTGTTCTGTCCTAACAATTTTCCTGAACTTTGGTGTACCTGACAGGTATACGCTGTAGCAAAGACTTTCATAGTAGGCTCGTCTTGATGGGGCTGAAACGGAAAGATAACTCTTGGGTTCATTCATGGTTGATCAAGAGGGAGCTAAAAGCTTTTATTTCATTCCAACTAAGCTGAAATGCAACCCTGTATGTAAACTGTGGTCTTGTGTTTTTCTTTAATAGGTCGTTCCAGAGGTGATCGACGTGACAGATATTCTGCGGGCAAAAGGGGTGGATTTAGTAGTTTTAGAGAGAGGGAGAACTTTGAGAGAACTTATGGTGCGTTAGGAAAGACCAGAGACTTTGGAGCAAAGGCTCAAAATGGGGCCTTTAGTACCCAAAGCTACAGTAATGGAACTCCTTTTGGGAACGGTTTTGCAGCTGCAGGCATGCAGGCTGGCTTCAGGGCTGGTACCCCTGCAGCAGCAGCTGCAGCAGCAGCAGGCGCTTACCAGAATGGCTATGAGCAGCAGTATGGGAGTAACATTGCAAATATGCACAATGGCATGAACCAACAGCAGTATGCGTATCCTGCCACTGGCACTGCTGCTCCTATGATAGGTTACCCAATGCCGACAAGTTATTCTCAATAACTTAGTGTATTTAAATGTCTCAGTTTTTCATAATTGCTCTTTATATTGTGTGTTACCAAGACAGGATAGTTATTTAAGAAATGAGAAATGCAGAAATGACTGCAGTGCAGCAGTAATTATGGTGCACTTTTTTCGCTATTTAAGTTGAATATTTCTCTACATTCCTGAAACAATTTTTAGTTTTTTGTACTAGAAAATGCAGACAGTGTTTTCAAAGTAAATGTACAGTGATTTGAAATACAGTAACGAAGGCAGTGCATGGCCTTCCAATAAAGATATTTGAAGACCGAATTTTCTTTTAAAATTGCAGTTTTCTCAACATGTGCACAACTTTACATTAATGGACTCTCAAATGTTTTTATATTAAATTCTAGAAGGGTTTTTCAACTGTGTCTGATTAAGCAGTTAAGCTAAAGCATATATGATAAGCAGCCTTGCCTTGATTGGGCTAGATTGCTTAGCAGGGCAGGCTCCACTTTCAGCGGGAAGAAAATTAAAGCTGGCTTCTAAATTGGAAACAGTACTCTTCCCTGTCTAAATAGAGTAGGGCTAATTTTTCCAAAACTATAGGAGTAATGGTATAGCTAAAAATGTTGCTGACCAAAACTCTGCTTAAGGGGTGTTGCTAATGAGCTTCTGGGACAAGTGGAGGAAGCTTCCCCTCCCCTTTGTTTTTCTTTTTTTTTTTTCCCTTTATTTGCAGCACCATAAGTGTCGCCTTCACATGAGCAAACATGCAGGCTAGGCTTGAGTGTAATGTACCTACAGCTGTCAAGCCTTGTGAGTTAGCATGCAGGCTTACTATGAGCTTCAGAGATATGGGAAGACGCTAGTATTAAAACTTCCAATTACACTTAAACTGGTATTGAGCAGTGATTTCTTTATGGAAGTGGAGGGAGGGAAGTGGGCAGTTCACTGACTAGAAGCTTTGGCTTTCTGCTCTGGCCTGAAGAACAGTTCTTTCTCCCACCATACTTCATAGTCCATGCAAATAAAATGGTCTCAAACCACTCTCCAATGCTGAGCAAAAACAATGGTCTTAAGTATCTCCCTGAGCAGACTCAGAGCTGAATGCGGAAAGCTCTTGATCCTGAGGTTAGTTAAAGCCCTTAATGCAGCTTAAACTTACAGTTAACAGTGACCTTCAGTTTTCCATTCCTCCTTGTTTTATCAGTAACAATAAGCTAGTTCTAAGTTAATTATAAATTTAATTTTAAATTAAAGATTCTGACATGACAACCTCAAGATCTAAGTGAAAATCCAAGTAGTCTTGGGAGCTTTTAAAATAGGATTTTTTTCCCCCTTCCTTAATAGGAAATAGCACCCAGCACCTTCAGCATGCCTCTCTGATCCTGTGAAAGTTAGGCTGCTTGAAAGGGGATATTGGAAATCTTAAACTCCCCTCCCCCCTTTAATTAATGTTATATTTTAGTAATTAGTAGGCTGTGCTAAACAGGGTCATCTTGGCTCTGGGAGGGAGGTACAAAGTGCTGAGGTGCACTGAGGACAGCTCTGCACCACTCCCTAGGCTGGCTCAGGGCAGCAGGTCTTTGCAACCTTGCCGACCAGTAACAGAAGTAACTGGCACCTAGCTTCGGGCCCTACTGCTGCCTTAACTAGTAACCCCTGCAGGACTGAGTGTACCACAGGGCCAGCACTGACACGACTCTAGTTTGCTGTGCCTTAACGTGTGATTTTTTTTTCACGATGAAGCCGCACACTGGGTGTTTACTCTGCCTTCTGGCACCGGTACAAAGCCATGACGCGAAGCACGCATGGAAATTTCCACTGCTCTGCCGCTGCGGAGGCTTCTACCGCGCTATCTCTGCTCGAGAGCCGGGAGTCCGCGCGGAGCGGAGCCGCCTGGGGCGCTTCCCCGTTGCGGGACCCGCAGAGAGGCGCGGCCGGGCGCCGAGCGAGCCGCGAGGGACAGCGGCGCGCGGCCGCCGCCTCAGCGGGGCGCGGGCCTGGCAGCAGCGCACGCGCGTTCCGCCTTCGCGCGCGTGGCTGAAGCGCATGCGCGGTGCTCGCGGTGCTCCTCGTGCTGCGCCCCCTCCCTGAGGGAGGGGAGGAAGATGGCGCTGGGCTGCAGCCAAGGGGGGCGGCTGTGCGGCCGCGCTGCCCTGGGGCGCCCGGCGCTGAAGCGGCCCCCAGCGCGGCCCTACGCGGCCGACGGCGGCGAGGGGTCAGGCGGGGAGGAGCTGCTCGAGGTTTGCCGGCGGCGGCACTTTGTGCGGGGCGGCGCGGGGCCGCGGCCCTGGCGCGCCTACCTCTGCGGCTGCCCGCCGGCCTTCGGGCCGCTCGGCGTAGCGCTGCGCGCGAACCTGGCGGCGCAGTGGTGGGAGGCCGTGGCCGCCTTCCGCGAGCAGGTCTTCGCGGTGGACGCGCCGCTGCACGGGCCCGCCGGCCCCGGCGCCCCGCCGGCCGCCCAGGCGCTGCGGCTGGTGCCCGCCGAGGTGCCGCGCCGAGCCCCGCGAGGCGGGGAGCCCCGGGCGGAGGAGGCGCTGGGCGCCGCGGGGCTGCTCCGCCAGTCCCTGCTGCCCGGTAGGTCCGCGCTCCGCGTCGCGCGGGGCCCGGGGAGCAGCGCCCGCCCGCCCGCGGGAGCGGCCGCCCCTTCCAGGCGCCCCAAGGTGCCCAACGTGCGTCTTTCCCCTGCCCTGTTCGGCCCTGTAACCTCGCAGTGCCCAGCAGAGCGCTGCACGAACCAGGGCCTCGTGTCTGCACAACGTTAAAGCCACCTAGACCCCGCCTCGTATAAATGACCTGTGTAAAGCGGGGAGGTCTTGAAACGAAGTTTGTGTGAAAGCACGGGCTTTCACAAGAATTAAAAACTGTGGCGGCTAAAATGAACACTCGTCTCTGCACAGGTGCCTTAGCACAGTACGATAGCTGTTTAGAGTTGGTAAACAAGAGACTACCATACGGCCTCGCTCAGATGGGAGTGTGTTTTCACTCCATTCCAGAAAGGGAGCAATGCAGTGAAAATCTCAGCAGGTATAGTAATGTAATGCATGATTTTTGTACTTAAACCATCCTTTTTTTACACGTACTTTCCCTTTTGGATTACTTTTGAACGTTTGTCTCTTGCTTTTTTTCTTTTTTTTTTTTTTTTCCTTTCTCCTATTATCTTTGAAGGAGTTAATTTGCTGACCTTGCTATTGTTTAAAGAATAGGCGAAAGGACCACATCATCCCTTGTATGGTTTAGCTCTCCCAGAACTGCAGGACAGTGGCTTGATTACTGGTTACGGCAGAGACTCCAATGGTGGAGAAAGGTATTTGCTTGTTAGTGACTGAAATGCATGTATTTCTTGCAAGAAACAAACAATCAAAAAATGCTTAAGATTGACAGCTCTTTTAAATAGTTCATAATATGACTTGTAGACAGGTAAACGTTTTCATTTTGTATGTAATTTTAGCTCAAGATTACTACCTTGAAGAAACAGCAAAATGTTTGGGGTTATGATGTATAAAAACTATATGGCACTTCAAGCTGAAGCTTACCATAGACTTTATCTTGCTTCATTATTTGTGATTAATATAGCATGCACAGTAATGGGTCGTCTCTTATATCTTTAATTTTCAGTTTGCAATAGGCCCATCTAACTTCAGCAGCAGTGACTTTCAGGATGAAGAAGGAAGAAAAGGATTTAATTTATGCTATGGCTTTCCATGGGGAAAAGAGACAATAGAAACATTGATAAACCTGGGTGATACTGAACTGTTACAAATGTATCCAGAGGATAGATCAAAGTTACTTGTAAGCCTTACGTTCATTTCTTTACATTAAAATTGTTTCTTGATAAAAATATGTGAGTTTTTGTTTTGTTTTTGTGATCCAGTTGTTTGGTGTGTAATCTTTACTATAAAAGCAGTGTAATTGGTACTTTACAAGTCAGAATGTCTCTGGGTGATCTTAATGCAGAAAAAATAGGTATGAAATATTTTCTGTATGGAGTTAATTCTTTGAAATGAGAAACAAGGTAAATTGGCAAGACAACTATTATCAAATGCCTCTTTCAGTGAGCTGCTGTTAAGAAAAACTCCTAAGTCTGTTTTGTTGCTAAGTTCCTCTCAGAAAGAATCTGTAAATGTTTTATAACTTATCCCATTTCATACTTAGAAGTAATCTGTATGTGGCTCTTCCTCACATATTTTATTTTCCCTAATTATTATTACACCTGAGGTGCCAGTAGTAACATTTTAAAAATATATGTCTAACTGTATTTTAAATATGATAAGGGTGCTTGGAATTAATACTTCATTACAAAACCCTTTGAGGCAGCTTTTGAGAAATCCCTTTGTGGGTTTTTTCTTTTCCTTCAGGGCCGAGATGGGAGGAAGAATGTTATTCCTCATGTTCTCTCTGTGAGTGGAAACCTGGACCGAGGAACGTTAGCCTATCTCTTTGATTCTCTACAGCTAGTTGAGAATCCATTAATGAAAAAGAAAAATTCACAGAGAAAGGTAAATTTCTGTAGAAAGTCTAAGGAAGAACAGGTGGAAGAGGAGTTCAGATCTAAGTGCAAAACTTAAATAGAAGTCACAGCCTAGATCAGTGCAGATATGTCTATTAAAGTCCCCAGAATAGACTGAACTAGTTAACATTGAAGTGTGTTTGTTAGTTTAGAGCAGGGTAACGGGTACCAACAATGCCTTGTGGGTCAGCCGTTGTGGTGAACTTAAGCAAAAATAGTTTGTTTTTCTTTCACATGACTGTTTTGTTCCCCTTCCCAATAGGTGCAGACAAAGCACCTGTTTGGTGGTTTTTTTTTTTGTTTGTTTGTTTTTTTTTTTTTTTTACAAGTAGTAACAGGCTGGTCCCATGGTACTGCCTCTGCACATGGTACTGTCCTCTTTACCTACATGACCATTTTTTTCTCTTGTCTGAGGTCGCCTTTCCTGCCTTAGCTCCTTTCTGATGCTTAGTGGCCTATTGCTAGTGATGGAAGAGCTATAAGGATCAATGTGGTTGTTGTGTGGGAGAAAATATGCTTGGGAAGGCTCCTTCCATCAGAGTTTGTGGGCTGCTAGAGAAGTGTGGAGAATTGGGTCACAGATAGTAGTGGGTTATTTTTCCCAAGGACGATTATTAATCCTATTTCTACCCTGATTTCCTGGAGTCCCTAGGAGTTCCTGACTTTCAAACTATTTGTTAACCCAGTAAGGGTACACAAGAGTGCACAAGGGTATACACTCTTGTGTGTACCTCCTAAGAACAGGAGTAGACTGCAGGTGAAAGGTTTGGTGGACTCTCTTGGATCTCTCTGGACTTAACTGTTAAAGATGATGCTGCTCTGCTGGCAAATGTTGTTTTCTGTGCTGGTCTCATCTGGCACAAAATAATGTCTGCCATGGTAGTGTAACTGACATTTGCTAGTTTTATGAAGTATGATTATAATTTTGCTTTCTATGAGAAAAGCTATGCGTATTTAGATTTTTTTCTGGTAAATGCGGTTCTTCATTCAGTTAAAAAATTCAAGTAGCTTTTTAAATGTTCTGTAGTTCTGTTAAATGCATCTAGTGTAAATATCTAGTAATCTGTCACTTTTTGTAACTTTAGGTACTCAAGCTTCATCCTTGTTTAGCACCTATTAAAGTAGCTTTGGATGTAGGAAAAGGTCCAACACCAGAGCTGAGACAGGTATGTTAGGAGAAAGCATTTTAATTATGAGCATTGACTTTTCATGTTTTCTTCTGTTATAATTTTCACAACATTTACATGGGGGAAAATCATGCTACTCTGTTGTGATTCTTGGAAAGTCGTGTTTGCCATGGTTCAGCAGTGCTTCCACCGTGTAGCTTCTGAGCTGTGTCTCAAAGAGTACACCATGGAGAGTGGGAAACACATAACCTGTACTCCTTTTATTAATAATAAAGTTGATGCTAATTTTGTGCAAAGTGAAGGAAAGTAAAGAATTCTGTTGGCTTCTTAGTCTTACGTGATTATCATAATGTGACTTAAACCTTCAGAAGATTTCTTGTTGTTTTAAAGTCCATTATATTTAAAAAATATGCACAGGAGGGAGAGAACTAACTTTTTTTATTTAAAAAAGATTGTCAGTGGCAATCTAGCTGCCAAGTTGCTTTCCACTCTAAGCTTGTTTTAGCCAGTAAATTAATACTAGCTGGGAATGCTAATGTTGCACATGCTACCGTCTGAATGGCTTTTTTGTTTAGGATTTCAAACCCTTAAAGACTATTTCTTTTGTTTTTAACTAAATACAGGTTTGTCAAGGATTATTCAATGAACTGTCAGAAAACAGGATTTCTGTATGGCCAGGTTATCTTGAAACCATGCAAATATCTCTGGAGCAGCTTTATGCAAAGTAAGGAAAAAAAGCATTTTGTAAATTAAATTATGAAGGTGAAAGAGATTCTGTGAACTAGTGAAAATAAACTAGTTCTTATGTGCAGTAGCCAAATGACTGCAGGTATGTATTCAGAACCATACATTTAAATTCAATTATTTTGTTATGAAAAACAATGCCAGGTAGTTCACTTTGAAAGATGCACAGTTCATTTAATTTCTTACTTTTGCATTGCTGTTGCTCTTGAACTGTAAAATAGCTGTTGGAGACTTCGCTAGGAAAATAAACTTCTAAAATTTAAAAGTAAAGTTCTAAAGCTTTCTAAAGTAAAGATGAGTCATAAACTTGAAGAATTGATTTATTTTCCACTTTTGCATTCGGATTGGCTTCTGTGTTTCATTCTGTAGTACTATTTCATGCATACCATATCTGGTCTTGATCAGGAAATTTTTCAAGCCTGGAATGACTACCAATGGTATATTTGAAGGATTTTTTTCTACAGATAAATAATATTCCAGTAAGTGATCCAAAGAACTTTCAGGTTCAACAGAAATGCTGAGCGTGCTGTTGAATGATTTTTTTTTCGCCTATAAAAGTAATTCTGGTTATTAAAAAAGTAGAAAATATACAAAAATATCCATACAGTAGGTCCTCAGATAAAATTCTCTGTTTTTTCTGAAGTGACCCAATAACCTGAAGAAATGTAATGAGGAAAGAAAGAAATGACAACAAGAAAATATTATCTTCACACATGACTTAGTACAATGTAACAAAAGGAAATATTAACAGCATATGATCATATGTACAAATCTTGTTTTGATTTTTTTCTACACCAAAAGCAGTAACAAGTGCATTGATATCTTCTCAGGTACGATGAGATGAGTGTTCTCTTCACTGTGTTGATAACTGATGTTACTCTGGAGAGTGGAGTGGTCCAGCTAAGAAGCAGAGACACCACCATGAAGGAAATGATGCACATTTCTAGGCTAAAGGACTTTTTAACTAAGTATGTAACATCTGCGAAAAACAGATAGACTTATCTTGTTCTAATAAAATGACTTTTTTTTTTTAATCTCTGTGCCTGAATTGACTTCCAGGGTATCACTGATCTCTCTGAAAATAGTTCCACTAAAGCTTGTTGGTACAGCTCTTTTCTATCAAATCCGGACCATCTCGATGTCTAGATTGACCAGAAAAGAAGGAAGAAGCATGCTTGTCTGTTGCTAGTGGGACTTAACTGCGTTCTTTATACCTCCAGTTTCGTTATTTTGTTACAAACTTGCAATTTAAAAACTTAAAGAAACACAGAAAAAATCTCTAATCTAGAAAAGTTTAATAATGGTATTCATTCTTTCTAAAATCATTCCCTGAGTATGTGTTTATCAACTGTTCTCTGTTCTGCAATCTAGCATGTAATCTACTCTGTCTTGCGCTTGATTAAAAGGGAGGATTAAAGGGACTAAACAGGAATTGGGGGGGGGGGGGTGCGGAGGAACACAGTTGTAAACAGTTAAGCATTTTGTTGACAAAAGCTTTAGTAGACAAAGCTTGTGGCATAGAATTAAAAATAAGACTAAAGTGTGATCATGCTTATGCCGTACCTGAGTATTGCGCTTGCATTCAGATATAGAGAGTTGAGATATAAATGGAATGATCTAAATGAATGGATTTACTATGTGTATACAGCTTAAGTCAGTATATTGAATAGGTGCTTTAAAGTGCATGCAATGATGCATGCATCCACTGAAAATCATTAATGTCACTAAAGACAAGGACTTTCATTAAAATCTCTTTTGTTACTATAGTGACATACACAGGAATACAGATGTGAGTGGAAGGTTTCCATCTGGATATCACTTATGAGCTCATCATTTTTGCTTTCAGTTCATCAGATAAAACCATGATGCCAGTTTGGCGCTATATGTTGTATTTGACTTTGTTTTTGTTTGTTGTTTATTTTTCCTCTTGTTAGTGGTTCTACTTGGACCATAAGGTGCTGTTTGTGCTGTTTGACAAATGAGATTGGTAGCTGGGTGTCTGAGTTCCATTTTTTACCCATTCTGTTTCTTTGTTACAAGTTGAAGGAATTGTCAGTTTAGGGATTTCACAAGTAGAGAAAATTAGGTTATTGTTTGTCTGTAAAATAGGCCATGAAAGCAACATCTGAGCATCGTCTACTCTTTTTGTGCAGTTCAGCGGTGCTCAGAACATCTGAGGAGTAAAGATTGTGTAAAATATGTAATTAATCACAAGTGAGATCCTACCTTGTACTCCATCTCTTGTGGCGACCTTTGAATAGACTGTAGCAGAGATTCTCTTGTCTGAAAGCCAGAATAACATAATCCATCCTTTAATAAGGGTACACATCAGCTTAATAGGCCATTAGCAGCTTGGTCACATAACATGGCCTGCACGGTTTCAAATTAAGCTGCTGATTTTTTTAACGATAGCTTGGTGATAGACTTTTACTTTCCTTCCTTTTCTTCAAGTTACTTTAATTTCTCTGTAGTAGGTAAGCATTTTCACTTTATAACTGCTACTATCTAAAAAGAATCCCCAGCAAATTCCTCCCCAGTGTCTTTGTGCACCCCAGATATTTCACTATTTTAATTTTAAGAACTTTACCTTTTTCATTTTCCTTTCTAATGATGGCAAAGTTGGCATACTGTTCTTCAGGTTTAACATACTCTGGATTAAAGACAGAGAGCAAGAATTAAGTACAAGAGGTTATGGCCCTGTAATTCTTGTCATGGTACAAAGCAGTGAGATCCAGGATATAAAATCTACATGTGCTTCTTGTAGCATTTATAGGTCTTATCAGAATTATTTTCACTCTCTTTACAGGCAATGTGGTAGAGTGCAGAGAGAGGCTGCAAAGAATATTAGGCAAGCTGAGCTGAGCCACTGCAATTCTGTCTCTTTACCACCTGAGCAGGAAGGCAGGCTTACTGGGGAGAATGATTCCCTTTGGTATTTAGAACAGGAAAGATAATAATTTTTTTTTTCTTGAGAATAGTGTAAGTCATGTAGTCCTTTTCAAATCTTCCTTATGTGTTGTGGCTGTTGTGCAATGGCTTCATTATTGCGTGCTTTCCACAATTGGTACAATGTCTTAATTCAGTAGCCTTGTTGATTATTGCCTTCTGTTACTTAATTGTTTTAAGTGACTTTGAGTCTTGTCAAAGATGAGAAACACAAAGAACTAATGTGTATTGTGTAGCTCCTGCATTTTGTTCAAGTTTTCTTTTATTATAATTTTATTACAAATGATCCCATTTTTGACTCTTAGTAAATGTGCACTGTAGTTCTCTGGTCTTTAATTTTCTTTCCTCTGTAATGGCTGTTTCCCCTGCAATGACAGGAGTTTACAGATTCTTTGGTTTATTTCTTTTCTGTTTTAAGTACTTGTGGTTTTTTTGCATGAGACTCCAGAACTCTTTATCCAGTATAGTCAAAGCTGCAGTTTTGGCAGTGTGGCTGACAGGTAGATTGTAAGTATGGATCTTGAGGGACTTCAGAGGTCATGGTGAGCAGGTGTTCCATTAGCTCACTAACATAGTAGGGATCCTTTTCTCTTTTCTTTTGTAATATGTAAAGGAATTGTCCCGTACTAGCTACAAATACTATAATGGTATTCTTCAATCAGACTAGTAAGTTTTCTGGCTAAATGGAGATAAGCATAAACTTACCAATCTCTGTGTATATGACGTAGTTTTCTGTCTCTTCTGCATTTGTTGTTGAAATAAGGCCACCTGAGGACCTAACAGACTTGCTTCTTTCTGAAAATTATAAAAGAAACAAACATATATGCATCCACTTCTTTGTGAGGAAATAAACAGCTCCAAGATATTTGAACTTCTTAACATTGCTGTCATGATTAATACTGCCCCTTAACCAATGATATTTTTAATAGAATTTCTATTCTTTATTATGGATGTTCAGGATCAGTTCTTGCCATCATTTATCTGTATATTTCAGGTATTGCTTTTCTTCCCATAGCGCAGGCCTGCCATCTAAAACTCAGCTGAGAAGTCAATGTCCTGTAAGTTGCTTCCAATCTGGATGTTGGTTAAGAGCAGAGTGACAACATCTTAATTCTTAAGAGCTTAATTCTGCTTATAACGTGTTTACACAATAGATTCTATTGACATAAGTTAGCACTTCTGGAAACTGAAATAGGCATCAAATAACTCACTTGCTTTACATGAAGGAATAATGACAAATGGAATTGCCAGAGCAAATCCTATTGCTAACAACAGCAGGATCAGCCCAAGAGAAATGAGCAATGGTTGAAAATTGCTTCTCTCCTCTGTCAAAAAGAACAAAAAGTATTTATTTAAAAGTGGGGTTTTTTTTGCATTCTAAGTATTTTCTATAGCTTGAAATAAAAACTTTGCATTTCTTTCACCTTTCAGATTAACCATGGTTAATAGATCCACTCAGAGTGCAAAGTGCACACCACTACAGCAGGAGGGAGTGTGCTGCAGCCAGTGATCTAATCACACTGATGAGATTGAAAGGCCCTCGCTTTTACGGGAACCAAAGAGAAAAATGAAGCTAGAATCTCCCCCAGGTAGATCAAGGAAAGAAGGGGTCTCTTCTAACAGTTGTCCTTGTTTATTAGTGATGATAAGTTTTTTGACATACCTGCTAATGTAAAGTTGAAACTGTTGCTATATTTTGTGCTATTGGGAAAGCTGTTTCCAGCTTTACATTTATATGTTCCAAAGTCACTGGATGAATTGATAAACAAAACAAATATAGCTGCTTCCTTTTTCTGCATCCGCATTGGGTGGGAGATGTTCTTTCTTCCTCTGAAGAATATGTATGTGATAGGAAGAGAACCATTTTCTGAGAGACAAGAGAGTGTCACATTCTGTCCTTTGTTTGTTTGAGAACTGGGTGAGCTTAACACTGGCTTAGAAACTGGCTCTGTAAAAAGAAACCAAAAAGACTGTCACTGAGCACAGGACAAACTCCAAAGAAAAACATCAACGTAAGCAAATGAAATAGGCCTAGGGGACGGATGGCTCACTGAGCCGGATCAGGGTAACACTGCTGACCCCTAAGGAAATAATATCGAGGGCAGTGAAATTTAGTTCTGTAATCAAGGCAGACACTCAGTGCAGGGTAAACTAGCACCTGTAGCAAACAAAACTCCAGTGGGTTGGATCGGAGGGGGTGGTTCTGTGCTCCTGAAATGAAATGTGTGGGGAAGGTATAAAGCAAGACCTACCTATAAGGGTTAAGTTGACAGGTTTGCTGTATTTTCCTTTATTGGAGATTCTGTTCTCAGCTTTGCATTTGTATTCACCCGCATCCCTGGCAGAGTTGATGGTCAGGTAAAACATAGCTGGGGTCAAGTCTGTGCTATTTAGTGTGGCTAGCTTCTGTTTTCCTTTAAACAAAGTATATCTGACTGGTGGAGATCCAGAGTCTGAGTGACAGGAGAGGCTCACATTCTGGTTCATTATTACTTCCAAAGTGCCCTGAACATGGCTGAGCGTGGGGTTGGACATCTCTAGAAAGAAGAAACTTCTCAGTGAGTTCATGGCACCTATCATCCAAGTATCTTCTAGGTTATTCACAAAGTGTTGAAGACGCTGGTATGCCTCTTTCTGTTGAAAGTTGTCCTAGTTGTCCTATTATTTCTTCACCTCCTGTAGCAGGCGCCGCAGCTTTGTATTTGTCAATATGTAGCATCAAACATTCAATGAAAAATGCGTATCTCCATACAAAACAGAGCATATCCACACAAAGTCCACAGATATTTAGATGAACCAACAATAAACTTCGGCATCGCAACAGCAATGATTATAACAGAAGCACAACCAAGAAATAAAAGTATTGTGGGGTGTTAATTGTTGGAGAGAAGGTGTTTTTGATGCTAGTTAAGAGATAATGCAAACCTTCAAGAAAAGACAGTATTTTATCTACAGCCCTGTGTGAATGAACAGAATTGATCTGGTATGAACAACTTTATCCTCCCTGACTTTTGAGTAGCAGAAACATTGAATATTTATCAAAATAGTTTGGTGTTTATGGGATCATGCAAAGAAAACTGAGAAAAAACTGCAACATCTTTTAATAGAAAACGGTAATAAGCCAACTGTGATTAAGGTAAATTATGGCCAATGTAGGGTTATACAATAGTTTTTAATAACTCAAAGTAATTTTGAATGTACATAAAATAGTGTTGTCAACAAGAAGAAGGTTATTTTGCATAAACATTTGCAAACTGTCTCATTACACAAGCAAGGGAAAAAGTTTGAATTTTACTTGACAGCTTCGGACATTCTAGAATCCCTCCCCCTCCCCTTTCTTTTTGGAGGGGAGCAGTTGATGCCAAGACATATCACAGAACTGGAAAAAAATTACCTACCTCTGCCTTCCATCGTTGATTTCTGAATCTGCCAAGAGACTTGAGCTACAAGAAGAGAAGAAAACCTTCAGACAAAATCAATGGCTGATATTTAGAATTATTTGTAAGTATGTCCTTGGCTTACTGTAGGAAAACAGCAGAACTGTGAGAAAAAACATTTTCTTTCAAAGACAAAGCTGATACTGAACAGGGCAGATGGTGTAGTTGCACCAGTGAGGAGTGACTCAAAAGTCCAGTGATTGAGGAAGTCCTAAATAGGGAAGCAGGGCTGTTTGTTTCTGGTGGTGTTTGGAGAGAGACTTTTGTTTTAATCCACTTATATTTAGCTCACAGCAGTCATGTTACACTAGTGGGCGGAAGGAAAAACTTTGTGGTGAGGAACTTGGGTTGCAATTGTCATGTATAGTTGTTTTAAGATGTCGCTAATGTGAGCAGGATCTTTTTCAGGAGTGAGAGCATGTGTTGTAGCACTATGCTACCATATAGTCTGCAGCATTATACATATAGCTTATCTTCGTATGAAGAACTGATGACTGAGCTGATTCATATCCTGCAGGCACATATTTGCTAGAGATATTGCAAGAGATGATCCAGGAGTATATGCTTGAGATTAGAGGGGAATGTGGTACTGCTCTTTTTGGCAGCAATATCATTTTATAAAAATTCACAGAAAAATAATACTTAATTCATGAAAGTTTTAAATACAGAGAAATATTCCTAGATGACTATCTGGGGAAATATTATGCCTGCTAGTGAAATATTTTGATCATACTTCAAAACTTCAGTTATGAGAAAATTTCATGTTACACTTGGAAGAATCTCATCATGAACTTGAGTTCAGCACCATCTTGCAAAGCCAACTTTGATGACTGGTTTGATGATCTAATCACTAATACAAAGCTGCACTTACTGCAGTTATGGCAAGTGGACGTTTTTAATTTGTCATCTGGGTCTCTGGGCAAAACAGATGTCATCTTTAGCACATGCGCATATCTAGGCTTCTGTAGATGAGAAGAATTAGCAATGCTACTAATGTTCTTTGCCCAGTACAGTATAGCGGCAGACGCACGCTCGGAATACATGCAATGCCTGAAAGCCCCAGGTTTTTAATATAGCTCCAGCAGTGACATTGTATATACGGACAGTGCCTTTTGAATATTTATAGGACTGTATATGAGTGTATATACTGCACAGCTGAATGCTTTAGAACTATGACTGTGGTCCTTCTTTCTTACAATTCCTCCACTTTTTGCAGCTAGCAAGATGAAGTCTTGCAAGAGCATCCTCTTGCATATCTATAGCACATGCATGCGAGCGGTTCCTTCCTCCTCAGTTGTGAGGCGGCGGCAGCGGTGGTTTCCATGCAGTGGAAACCCACGCTGTTGTGCGGGTTTTCCAGTCCCTGCGGCCGAAGTAACTCGGTGGCAGGCGGCCCTTTCGCCGGGCCATGCGCCCTGGGCCGCCGTGAGGGGAGCACAGTGGCTGCCTCGCGCGCCACTCGTGAGGTGACCAGCTCACAGTCACTCATCCGGAACACAGGCAGTCGTCAACAGGCCTCACTTCCCTTGCTTCAAAATCACTGAGTGATTGGATGCTGCTGCTCTCCTCTCCCAATGCTTTATTTTTTTTTCTTAAAATTAATGTTTTACCTGCGACGGTGATGGGAACCTCTCAGAAATTACGGCGTTTCAACATGCAGCAGTAAGTTCCTGAAGCTAAGACTGTTGCTTGTGTGTTTTGGTGTAGGTGTTATGACATGTTTTTCCAGAAATGAAGGAGTTGTTACTCATGCCTCTCTGAGGACAGCTACAGTGCAATTCAGTCCTATAAAAGGGGTAAAATTGGAGATTCTGAAACTCAATTTTCCTGAGTCTGGAGTATTCCAGTTTTGCTGAAGCTATGACAAAATGCTTGCATTTATTGGGCTAGATACTATTTTACAGATTGGGGATACTGTTGTAAATTTCTGCTAAATATTTTAAATTAGATTGTAGCCTTGCATAAGGAGATTGCTGTTGGTGGTTTTGAAGTCTTTTTACTGTTGCTTTGTGTTTTAAATGGTCTTAAGATGTAGAAATGGACACTTTTGCACACTGCTGTAATAGAGAAAGTTTGAAAGGCGATATCAGAGAGATCAATCATCATCTACATCAGCAAGTGGACCTGACATCTCTAAAGTAAGGAATTTCTAACCCTCTGTGAATGAATTTCCAAAGTAATACAGCAGCAGAAGTAAAGACTTAAGATCCCTAGCCTGTTTCTCAAGGTTAACTATATGGTTAAGAAAGAGTTGAACCAAACAGTGAGAATGAGCTCCTGATATTTTCAAAAGAAAAATTTCAGTATGAAAGCCTCAGTGATATTCTCTCATTGTCCAGCTTCACAGGCCCTTCAGTTATTTTTCCAGATGTAAATCTCTCATGTGGAGAATGAGATGTTGGATATCAGTCATTGTAGGAAAAGCTCTGTGAGAAATGATGGTTGTAACTGTGAAAGATGGAAGAGAGAGAATAAACATTTACTTTAATTTGATTAGTGGTCGTCTTCCAGCAGATGGTGCCATTGTGAAATGTAATGTTAATATGAAAAGCATAACTTTGATGAAGAGATTTATTTTATAGAACTTCTCAATTTATGAGAAAAGACAAAAGATGTGAATATTTTGTGTTCAAGAGAAAAAAGTAAATACTGCAAATACATACAGAACAAAGTCAATTCATTCCCAGTTCCCCAAGGTTTTGTCTAGACTTGTGAAAACAGCCTGCATTCCATATAATTCTGTCAAGTCTACCAAAACAGGAAGTCATATTATAAGTAAAATAGTTGGCAGTTTTACAGAATCAGTGAGATCTTGATATCATTGATATCAATATCGAGATTGATAGATTAGAAATCACAGCTAAAACTATTAAATGGAATTGGAAGCCATGCTACATGACTTGGGGAAAAAAAAAAAAAAAAAAAAAGGTTACATTGGTTTCAGTAGAGATGGACTTATCTTTGGATATTTTTACATTTTTTAGAAAATTGTAAGTCCCAAACATTTGTAGAAACTTCTCTAAAGCAATTAACTACCTGTAAGATAGAAATGAATGAGTTTATACAAGAAGTTATGTCTAACAGGGACAGGATTTGATGACTTCATAATATTTTGTGCTCTAAAAAAGTTTTGCCAGTAAATCAGAGGTAGAACTTAAGGGCAGCTTATAAAGACTTAGTCTTTTCTAAAGCAGGGGAAACTCCTTTTAAGAGTGGTTATTTGAGGCCAGGAGGTGAATGTTAGGTACTCTAGAAGATTTGTGGGAATCAGCATGTGCTCTGTGAGGAAATGTCAGCCCTAATGGTCAGCACTGCGGCATGTTCTGTCTTATCGTGCCAACTAGCTGAAGAGCCTATGAAAATAAACAGTGTGAATGTGGCACACCCCCAGCTTCCTTGTCTGTCATAAGGGACTAGCTGAAAACATTATATATTTTGGACTGCACACTTGAAAGTCTTTTTCAGTGTTTGGTCCGTAGAAAACTAGACCTTGCCTATGATTTTGGGCAAAGCTCTGTTCAAACAGCAAAGTTGATGAGTTTTAGAAAATGTCATGTTTAAGTAAATAGCAGAGGGCACGGTCAACAGAAGCAGCTCCCAGATGATGGCAAATTTAATGTTGAAGGGTCTAACTCACTGGGCAGTAGATTAAATGTAAAGCTTCCTATAGGCTTCAAAGGACATTGTATCAGATTATATTGACTTCTCCACCTGCTTCAGAAGGTATATGGATGGATTATTGATGTCAGTCCTGCTTTTATAACAAATGCAGTGGAGACTGACCAGAGATTTTATATAGCGTATGTATTAGATTAACTTTCTGTGAGCTAAATCTCTCAACAGATCTTCAGAAAAATATATGGTAACAATGTGGAAAATAGGCAACTGCATTATTAGCACAAGTACTTCTGAACTATATTCAATTTAAATTAAGGCAATCTGAATTCACATTTAACAACAAAAATGATCTCAAGTGATTCTTTACCCTTTGAAATCCTTTTCTCTTGAGTTTCATGACATTTTGGCTGACGTTCCTGCACACTAGTTTTTGGAATTTGACCAATACTAGATTTTTTTTCCTCTCCAGGCCAGTTTTGAGGGCTTGTAAAGAATATGGCAGTCTCACGGCCTGCAAGATTTTATAGGTCATTCTTAACCTAGGAGAGACATCTCACAACAGTAACAGGTTTTCAGGATGATGAAACCTTCCTGTAAGCCTAGGTAATCTTAAGGGCCATCTTTTCAACCCCGGCCTGAACCTAACCTGGGTCTGAACTCAACCACGTTGGCTCATTCTGATGGAAACTGAAGTATATTGCCCCACATGCCCTTTCCCTTCCCTTGCCGTGTCTGAGAGCCTTTGTCCCCTTGTGGGAAAGGCTAGCGTGTTTTTGCAAACTTCTGTACTTCACGTTGAATTCTTTTATAGGTAAGGAAAAGGGAAAATATCCTTCCTTTCTATTTTTTAATTATCAATAGCAAAAGTTTATCAATCTTTGTTCTCCATCCGCCCTATGTTCTCCTCCTCCTTTCCTTTACCTGGCTAGGGAAACACATACTGGCAACTAGCCAAACTCCTGGTCTTCTGTTGTTAGTGCGTTTGAAACAGTCTCTGTTGAGCAGAATAAATATTAGTAGTAAACCATCTTAATTATTAGTGATTATTTGCAGGGACAGTTGTGCCATTCTGCACTCCTTACTGCAAAACAGAGTAGTATTGATAAGTAGTAGTATTTGTAAGTATTTCTGCGTTTTTATTTATTTATTTACAATATGCCACAGTTGTGCTGATAATATAAACTATACATAGTGCTTGGAACTGTAAAATGTTGTTGGGGAAAAAAATCATTGACTCCAGGATAAATAGAAGCATTTTCATACAAATAGTTGAAGCTATATATTTCTGTATATAGACCTCTGAACGTGTGTTTAGTACTGTTTTTTTGCAATGCAGTAATACCCTTGATCCGCCTGTAGATTCAGACAGTGTTCAGGTCCAATAATATGACAAGAAGCTGCCTAAAAGTGGACTGATATACCAAAAAATAAAATATCCTGAATGCTGAGTTCCTTAAAGGAATATTATATGGAAAATGGGACTGCTAAATGTTCAGAATTT